AAATTTTATTTAGAAAAATAAAAGTATTTAACCTAATAAACTATTTTTGTCATAAAAAATAATAAAAATAATAAAATAAAAATGTAAAAATTAAGAAAATATTTTTGGTGATTTTTAATATTTTAGAAAAAAAAATAAAGTCAGAAATCACAAAAGAAATGAAAAATAATACAAAATATAATAAATGGGCCAAGGGGGTGCAAAAAGTAAGCAGGGGGTGTCAAAAGTCAAACAAAGCCAGGCCCAACCCAAGTTCTACTTTGTCCCTGTCCTTGAGACAGAAAACACGCGCGCGCCATGTTTAAACTTGTAACTCCTGCATACGTGCTCAAAAACAAAATCTTGCAACATGAAAGTTATAGCTCATCATCACACGATTCTAATGATATAATAAACTTGATCTAACTCTCAAAGACCAGAGATAATTTTAGCGCCCCTAATTTATGACCTAGTTTTTTCAGTAACTTCAACATCCAAATTCTCCTAGCTCAATTAATATAAATGGAAGCTATGCATATGTATAACTCAAGCAACTTAGAGACTACATTTTTGCTTCACAAACCTAAGTTTAATGATGCCTAAATAAGGAGTTAGAATCTTGAGAAATACCTGTTTCAGTCAAGTTCGAATATGGCAATGTAGGAGTTATGAGTGAGGCCTGAAGGACTTTTGAGCTTGCTTGATGTTCCCTTGACCTTTCCCAATGCTTAGCTTGCTTTGAAATGGTCTGGAACTCCTTGTAGAACTCAACCTGCAAACTCAGAAATTGAAAATGGTGAAGCTCGAAATAGGGGTTACAGTTGCTAGACAAAGGCATGGATAGTTTAGATAGGAGGTATGGAATGTGTTTGAAGCCTTGAAACAAAAAATGCACGAGCAAAATATGATTTGGCTTGAGATTTGTAGAAGCTGCCCTGTTTTAGGCAGAAATGTGGTTTTTGGTGTTTGGAGTTACAGTTGCTTGAGAAGGGCTTGGATAGTTCAGATGGAATGTATTGAATGTGTTTGAAATGATTCCAAGCAAAACGCACGAGTGGATTTGGTTTTGGCTTGAGTTCTGCAGGGCTTGCCCTGTTTGGGAAGAAAATGGAGCTTTTGGTGTATTTGGGTGTTTACAATGCTATGAGCTCGTGTTTCTGGCTTGGTATATTGTGCTGAACTTGTTTCAAATGGTCTCTAGTCTTGGTTTTAACAGATGCACAAGTTATGGAACTTTTTTAAGGTTTCTTGTTTTTGAAGCAAAATGTGAGTTGACAAAAGCCAAGGTTGTACAAGCTAGCTTGAGGCCTGCTGAGAGTTGGTGAGATTTTCCTGATGTTTGTGGATGTTGTTTGTACAAAGAGATCAGGTCCATGGCTCAAGATAAACCAAATTGCAAAAAGTGTGCTTTATGGAAATGGTATTGCAACCTTTATGCCATTTTTGGAATAAATCAATGTATAATGCTCCAAAGTTCAGAACCATACCTTTGTCCAATGTATTTGCAATTAATTAAGGAGTGTGGAAAGGTTTAAGGCCTGTAAAACAAGTACAAGCATGCTTAGGACAGATTTGCAACTTGTAGCAATGTGTAAAATGCCATGGACAAAAGTGATGATTTGCCATTTTCAAACTTTCGATTCTCCCTAACCATAAATGATCTGGGAGAGTTCTTGGACATTTTGGAAAGATTGTAACATTCTCTACAATCTATATTTGAAATGCATTTTGAGATTCCACTTGGAACTAGGTGAAAAGTTACCATGAAGATAGGTCAAAATCCTGCCTAAACTAGGGCAAAATTTCACTAAGTTAAAAGTTTCATGGACCCTTATTCACAAAATCATAACTTGATATCCAAGCATCTTTTGGGACAACTTTGTGAATAAAAGTTGTATATTTTGTGGAGGACTACAACTTTCATGTTGGAAGTTTTCTTTGAATCCAATTGCATCATGGTGAAAAAGTTTGGCAAAGTTGGGAAAAAATAAGAAATTTTCATAACTTAGAAAATTTCTAAGTTATGAAAATTTTCAATCTTAAATCCTAATTTCCAAAATTAGGTTTCTTGGTGAACAAGTTTCATGTTTTGACACATCTTGATGAAAAATGACCCTTGGCACTTGATTTTGACCAAAAAGTCAAAGTTTGACTTTTCAATGTATAGTTGATTTTTGATCAGTTGACTGGAAAATTCATTTGTCAATCCAATGCATTTGAGATCTTTTGAACCTTGTGATTAGTTCAAGATGATTCCATTGAGTCCTTGAAACCATGCTTGAGCCCAATTTGCCATTGGCTAGGTGAAAAAAATCAGAAATTGCCCTTCTACAGTCAAAACCCTAAAAATGACCATTTTGCCCTTTTGATGATCTGATCAAATGTCTTGAGGAGTTGTGGTCTAAACTTGATCAAATGGTTCATATGAGTCTATAATGTTGATTTGGATCAAAAATTATGAGGTTTGACTATAAATTGGCCACAGTTGACTTTTTCCCCAATACAGTTGATTTCTAGGTCTACTGTCCAATTGACTGGGAACAAATTTGATTCAAGGCCTGAAACTTGGTATGAGCAATCTTAGGAGTCCAACATGAAGTATGAAGGTCACATTGAGCATTGAAAGTCCAAAAATCCTTGTGCCAACTCAAACCCTAATTTTAGGTCAACAGTGCAAGGAGATGCCTTAAGCTGAGCAAACCTTAATCTGGTATTGAGTCCAAAGAGTCTTGTGAGGGGAAATCTTGATAAAATGAGAGGGAAAATTTTGGGGTACAACACTATCTTCACAAAGTCTCTCTGTTTCAAAGACTATAAAGAAGATTAAAGATTCAAAGAAAGTTTCTGTTGTCCATCAAGATTCATCCTGTGAAAGGAAAGCGCTGGATGCTGAAGATGTTAAAGCTGCAATGCTACACATTCTGAAGACCACCAAAGAAGAGAAAAGAAAGAAAGAAGATTTCATCAAGATTTTAATCTCCTATCATCTTATACATCTTGGGCGAAACATAAGAAGCAAGGAGTTGTTGCTTGTAGCTTGCTCAATGAAGAAGAAGATTCTATAAGATACTAATCAACTATCATCATATACACCTTGGTAGATCTCAGAAGAAGCAAGGAGTTGTTGCTAAGAACTTTCTCAACAAGAAGTTGAAGAAGAACACTAAAATATGCTACTCAACTTCTGATCATATACATTTTTGTAGAACATTGTAATGAACACTAGAGTTGTTGCTCGTATAATGTTTATGTTCGAATCTCTTCATGTAAATTGTTTTAACACTTGAGTTGTTGCTCAGAAAAGTGTTAAATAATATGTGCTTAAAACACCTGTGTAATCTGCTTAGAAGAAGCAATCATGTAAACACAAGAACCCTATCAACTGTTATTTATTGATTCCTTGGGAGACTGAGTGAAGGTCTGATCTCAAGAAGATAATGGTTGCGGTTATTATTGGAAATCCTGATAGGAGATCTTGCGGGATCAGATTCTGTTGGGTCAATGGTAGTCATATCTCAAAAGGGACCGAGTGAAGGTCAGACTCTTGTGAGATCACTGATGGATATCATTGTAAGGAAATACTGTAGATGATCTTGAGGGATCTGATTCTATTGGGCCAATGAAAGTTATATCCTGCGAGATCCCTGAATGTGTCATTGTGTGTTAGTCACCAGTTGTTGCCCGTGCATTTGTAATCAGTTTGGTTATAGTGGATTAAGTTCTTGGATAAGGCGAAATCATGCTTGCGGAGGTGGACAAGAGTAGCCTAGTTAACAGCGAATTTGGATAAAATACCTGTGTCCTTTTCTCTTCATTGTCTTTATCGCTATTATCTTTTGAGTGCTTAGAATTTCTAAAGGGACGTGTTTTCTATGAACACGATTCAAACCCCCCTTCTTGTGTTTTCTCTATCTTCAATTGGTATCAGAGCTTGGCTCTGTTATTTATTTAAGAATCAAACACTTAATCGTGTAGAGAGATCCAGTAAGAGAAAATTATATGGTTGCCTGCTACTCAAATGGTAGAAAGCTTTTCTGATTCAAAACCGGTTCTGTAGAGGATTCAAAACTCTAGGCAAGAATCAGAAATATGAAGACAAAATCCCTGAAACAAGTTCTCAAGATTCTGAAGGCTCAAGTACCTGATGGAAAAGGAATTCATCTTTTCAACCAATATAAGCTCTCCATCAGAAGTGAAGGTTAACAATCATCACTTCAACTCATCAACTGAAGTTGTCATCCAAATGAAAAATTCCTGCAAGCTGCAAAGGATCAAATCAACATCATCCCAAAAGGATCTGTCAAATGCTCTGAAAGGATTAATACTTCTCTCAGAAGTATAAAGAGGATTGAGAGAATATCAGAAGCTATACCTCCTGAAAAAAGTGTTTCAGATCAGCAATAGATATTCAACAAGTCAAGAAGTATCAAGTTAGCCCTTCATAAAGAATGCTTTAAAGTGAGCATAAGAAGATCAAAACTAATCAAGAAAACTACAACTATGAAATCTACCTTCAGAATTTGAAGAAGACATAACTACTTAAACATACATGATCAAAGGAAGCACCATGAAGGTTTTCAACTAAACTACACCATAATATTTATACTTTATATTTTCAACTAAACTACACCATAATGTTTATTACATAGGCAAACTAATAAGATTATTCATAGAATTATAGTCTTGCAAAAATATTCCATTATATCTTGACAACCTTCATATTTGATGAGATTTATTTTTGTATTGCTTTCTTAATTGATAATGAAATAAAGTAAAAATATTTCCCTCAAATAAAATAAATATTAAACTAAAAAATAACAAATCTCATATTGGCATACCCAAGCAAACCCACCACCTCCACTTCAATTTCTCTTAAGTTTTTGCCTTTTTATCTTCTTTCGCTTTTAAGAGTCCCACCCCACTTGCACCCTCTTTACTTTTGTAACACTTCCAAAATTTGTTGCCATTTTTTTAATTAAAAAAAAACTGTAACAAGATGCATTCCACGTCAGCATTACACTTCAATTGCCCAATAATTTATCTCCACGTGTGCGTTGTATCACCTGGCTTTCCACTTGCACCATTTTCAATCCAGCTTGAGCTTTCACAATTGGCTCCACCACCTTCTTCCTCCGTTTCACCGACGACCCACTCTCCGACGACGAAGAAGACAACTCCGACGCCGAAAATCGCTTCGAAGGTACTCTAACCGGCTCGGGCTCACCCGAATTAACCCGATCCGGAAAATTCAATATAGCCCGCGAGCCACGCATCCTGTACGCAGCTCGATCATAAGCCAAAGCCGCATCCTCAGCCGTTTCAAATGTTCCAAGCCAAACCCGCGCCCCATTTTTAACCGGGTCACGAATCTCCGCCGCAAACTTCCCCCACGGCCGTCGCCTCACTCCCCGGTAATGCTTACCCTTCGCCGGAGCAGGAACAACATTCTCAGACACACTCTTCACCACCGGAAAAACATCCGACTCTGACTTTACTATCTCCGACTGCATGAAACACGACGAAAAACTCCCCGGTGAAGCTCCGTCGAGAGATGGAACCCACCCAACATTAACAGCATCACGAAGTACACCGTAGAGTAGCATATCCTCTGAATCATCTTCTTTGAGAGGAAGTTCTCCCCAATTCTCACTCATACATGGGTACAATTTGTTGAAACTGAAGCTCCCACAAAAAACTGGAACATTAGACGAAGCTTTGAATGTAAAAACATCGGAATCTCCGAGCAATTGAAGCCTAATAGAATCTAAGGTTTCGTAAACATTCTCTCCGTACATTTCGTGTTCTTTTTTGTGTCTGTCAAATAAGTATTAGAAAGTTTAGAATTTGATTTTTGAGAGCCAAAAATGGTAATGAATTGAATATTCGAATTTGGAAGAAAAAATGTATTTATTTATAGCAGTGAAGATTCATGAAATTATAAATTAGAATTGTCAACAAGACTTTGAAAATTATTTCCATTATGAAAATAACGGTTTCGGATTTAAGTTTAACGAAAATTTAAGTAACTTTCTATGGTATTGGTCTCGTTCTTAGCTTCTTGGAAGGTTCTCATGTGCAAATTCCAATTGGTTAGATCATTTAATCATGTGTTTAAATTTTCTAGTAAGATGTTTTATTTTTGTGACGTAATTTGTATGACGAGAATATGGGCGTGCGCAAGTTGCACCTCTGCTTGTCTTGTCTTGTCTTATGCCTTCTAGAAGAGTCATAGTATTAATAATAGCCAAGAAAGTTCCTTCCTTCTTCTCTTCACCAAGGATTTTTTCGTGCTACCACTAAATTTTTTATTTTAGTTTATTAAAATTTGTTGTTTTTAGTCATTAGAATTTGGTTAGTGTCTAGTGGTGGATCCAAAACCAAGATTAAGGTAGAAACTAATTGTTATTGTTAGATATTTTGTGAGGTATTATACATTATCGATGAAATAATTTGATAAGACATGTGTGCTTAGTATTTATGGAAAAATATGAGTGAATTTTGTTTGCTAATTAATGTGAACAAAGCATAACAAGCTTTGTTGAATTGAAAATAGAGTACAAGAGCTACTTATAGTTGAGGTAGAGTGCATAATCTACAATCAAAATATGGATACATTGAATTATAAATTCTAACAAACACCTAACGGTCACTTTCCATTTATGGAAATCTTTTATCATAAGCAATTAATTAAATTTCTATTTGAGGAAAGTTTGCATAACAAATTAGTTATTGATCTAATTAATTTGCTAACTAATATTTTATCTTATTATATATTATCCCTTCATACATTGGAAAATAAGTGTTGATTATCTCTAACTTTGATAGAAGAACTTTAAATGGTTGATGAAGAAGTGGTTTGGTGAAAAATCAATAATTTGGTCTTTGGAAGAATGTTTACAGTGAATTTTAGTAAACAACACTAGTCTTTAGAAATAGTTACTTGTAGGATTGACTAGTTAATTTTAGGACATATGTGCATAAATTTTTGTAATTTTTTTTTGAATGTTTGATGTGAGATAGAAATCTACTCTAATTTTTATAAAGACTAAAAATGTAAAGTTGCAGAAAATAAGGAATTTCGACGTGGTCGAAATCTTGGTAACTGGTAATGCAAAATATAAAAGGAAATTTGCTAGAAAGAAACAAGTTAAAGTAAAAGAAGTTTTGCTTAAACGTAAAAAAATGATGTTCAAAATCATACATGTTCGCTCAGATAACTTGTTTCTAACTTTTTGCTTGGGTGCTTTGAGTGTATGAGTTTTTATAATGAATTTGACACCCTAAATCCTAACACTGAAACTCTTGTTTATACTAATACATGACTAACTGCCTAGAACAATCTTTTTCTTAGAAATCGACACATATCTTGTTGCATGCTTCTCGCCTTCTAACTTACTTCCACGTGTTTTTCCTGGTATGAATAAGACCAAATGAAAATTATTTATTCTGAATTTATTATTTACTTTACTACTGCCGAAAGCAATGACTTCGACCCCTCGGACTAGAATGTCTACATTGAAAATGTCTACGTCGAAATACTCTTCAAAACATCCAAGTCTCCACTAAGTATTTCTCTAAACTCCTTTCTTGTATGTTGGGCTCAAATGACATCGAAATTCCAGGATAACAAATTGTCCTCCAAAAATGTCACTTTTGACTAACTAGAGATATTCGTTTTTTATTTTTCTCGATGTTGTTCACATACTGGACTGACGTCATTATCATCATGACAATTTTATCAACTGTTACCTTAAAATGTGCAGCCCCTGAAACTTCATCATGGATCTAATTTCCCAGGATGTCATGGGCCACAAAAATTAACTATTTAATTCAGCCTCTATGTAGAAAACACATGTCCTTGGATTCGACACCATTTGTCAAAAAAAAAATGAACTGAAGAGTTTTTCTTTCTCATTATAAATACTTTTTCCCTTTGTAATACGGTGGGAGAACTGACTTGGTATTTTGCGTTTTATCGCAAATATTACAGAGAGCAAGAGTCACCATCGACTTTTCTTTTATCCAATAAAGGAAATGGTGAAAAGAACAGGAAAGATCTTTTGAGAATTTTCTTGAGTTCGGAGGGTTGGTTATGAAAAGGGAAGGTATTAGCACTCTTTTCATCCACAGTCATCTACGGGCTCTTTGTTTCTAACTCACTTTGAAATGCATTGTGTTTTGTGTAAGTTTGAAAATATTTTGAAAACGCCTTCGTTCGAAAAACTTTGTAATGATTCTCATATTGTTAAGAATGTATACAGGGTGTTGGTTTTGAAAATATTTATTGAAAGGGAGTGTTTGGAAAGGTGTTTTGAAAATTTCAATGTAAGGAAATTTTACAATGATTCTCGTATCGTTGAGAATGTATACAAAATGTTTGTTTGAAAAGTGTTTTGAAAAAGAGTTGTTTTGAAAGTGTGAAGTGTAAAAGTTTGTTTTAGTTTTTGAGCAAGTAATTACGAGCAATCTACCTACTCAAAAAAATCTTTTTTCTTTTTCTCCTCCTTTAGATAGTGCTACTTTACCATTGGTTGGTAGGGAGTCATATCATTGGATGCGAGGGACAGGCATGGGTCATCGTACAGTCATAGAAGGCAACTTGTAAGATGTTTTAGAAATTGTTGTAAGAGACTAAGATTGTTTATCGAAGGCAACATCGAAGGATCATCGATGGACTACGATCTTTTAATCGAGGGTCTTTTCTAAAGCATCTTACGTTCGAGGGACATGATTGTTTATTTGAGGCAACAAGTGTGGGTTACCCTAGAGGTGCATGTGCACAAGGTGTGTTTGATTCAATTATTTTATCTTGAATTTAGGATTGTCTAATGTTGATTTTAATCTTGTCATGCAAACCCTAATTATTAACAATAATAAAGAAAGCGATAAATTGAGAAATTTAAATGTCCTACGCTATTACAACGCTTTGGGAATGGGGGATACAAGTTTGTGAATGAGGGGAGGAAAACAATAAACTTAATTATCTATTACAAACCATGTACATAAATGATAAGGCGAAATAATAAAATGTGCAAGAATGTAAAGTAGAGGAAAGAAGTTATGTTTGGTGATGAAAAGATTTGGTAATTAACCTAATTAAATGACTTTATGATTAAAATAAATTAGTAAACCTAAATAAATTAAGCTAAGATAAAAAAATTAAGTTCTTTAATCAAAAGGAAAAAATAATTTAAGTATAGAAAAACCTAAATCTAACTTAATTTAAAAGAGAAATTAATTGTTAGAAAGTATTTTGAGGTTTTATTTAGAAAAATATTTGAAGTATAGAGCTTAATTCTAATTAATTAAATCAAGATAATTGAATTAAAACAAATTTAATTATAAAAAATTAATTAATTATTAGAAAACCAGATAAAAACTTTTATGATTTTTGTTGTTGTTTTGATTTTATAAAAAAATTATTAAAAGAAAATAAAAATATAAATAAAATAAAAATTAATTGGGTCAGGGTGCTATAAAAGTAAAATAGGGGTTAAGAAGAAGAAAAAAAACGTTAGGCCCAACATGTTTTTGTTAAAATCAGAAATGAAATTAAAAAAAAAAGAAGAATTGGGCATGCGTTTAAAAGTAAAATGGGGGTGAGGAAATAGAAAAAAATGACAAGCCTAAAACAAAAAGACACAGGCGCTGCATGATCAAGTGTGGTTGGCTCTTGATGGCTCATGGTAGACAAGCACACTTGAGGCATTGAAGTTGTTGGCACAATGATCTGATGGTCCAGTCATGAAGGTGTATGGCATGCACATTATGCTTGATATAGTGAATCTGCAAGGAAATAATGTAAAGAAACAAAATGGTACCATTGGGGCTCGAACCCATGTTCCTATAGGCAAGTGACTTAGCGCGCGCTTCTCTACCACTGGGGTGGCTGTCACATCTGATTATGAAACAACTTGCACTAAATTTATTATAAACTCGTTCCTGATTGCACTTCATCCCCTACCTCGCGTCGGCAACTTCAACACCATTTTTGAATTTCCAAACATGCTCATTTCTCAACCATTTTTAAAAGTGTAAACATGAAACTTGCTTGTTTTTTTACCATAAATCCAACCATGTAAATAACTTAAACTATAAATCAAAGATGAGCATGAATTTTGTCTGGTACCAAAACAAACCCTAATTTTTCTGTAACTTCAAATCCACAATTCACATTACTCAAGAAATATAAATGAAAACTAAAGGCATGCTTAGCTTTAGAGCAATGATGTCTACATTTTTTATTCACAAAGTAACCATTAATGATGCTTGTATAGGAAGTTCAAAGTTGAGAAAACTTACCTCAAAACTGGAAACCGTGTTTGGATTTTGAGCACTTCTAGAGATGTTTTGATGATATGGGTAGCTTCACGGAACCCCTGGGAAGCTATTGCAATGCTTACTTTGAGCTGAAAGTGTCTGAAACTCTCTAGAGAAGTCAAGTTGCAAGTGACTATTTTTGAAAATCAAGGATAATGAAGATGGTGTTACAGTTATGTAGTAGGTGTTTGGATAGCCTTTATATGAGTTATAGAAGCTTTGTGATTGATTAAAAGTGAAAGCGCACAAGTGGATTGTATATTTGGGATTTAAAGTCAGAATGTGCGACAATGGAGGTTTTGGATGCCAATTCTAATTTCAGGGAGTTTGAGGGGGTTAGAGGGCTTGTAAAATCGTGTGTTAGCTTGAAAACAACTTCTCTATTTATAGACGAGTGGTTTTAGAGGCACAAGTAACCAAAAATCAAAGATCACATGTTATGGTTTTGAAACTTGATTTTGAAGCAAGCTTGAAA